TTCCCATTTGTTCAGTAGCAATTTCTATTTGCCTTTCTGAATGAAAATTTTTCTGTAGTTTCTCATCTTGTCTCCTTCCAACTTTCACTGCTCTTGCAAAACTTAGCTTGATACGTTTGTGATCACTACCCAGACTTCTGGAGCCACCTTCATCTATGTGCCTTTCCCTGAGCTTATCATACATCCCATGTGACATCGGTGCGTAATCTATTGTTGACTGCAGCCTTCCTACATCCCATGTTATTTGCCCTTCACACTTCTCGGTACTGTTGCAAATTATCAAATCGTGCCTTTCACATATATCCATGATCATTTTGCCTGTTGAGTCAGTATACCCATCTATATCTTCTATGCGCGCCTTCATATCTCCTAGAATAATTATCTCGCACTCTCCTCCTGATTCCTTAATGTCCTTTGATATACACTCCATCATTGCCTGGTTTTCCTCTCTGGCCTTTGCTTCCGTCCACAAGTACACGAAACCAAGGAGTGTCATTTGCCCTGCCACTTCCCTGGCTTCCTGTTTGCCCTGGCTTCCTGTTTGCGATGGCGCCCCTGTTTGCCTCACCAGTTTCTCTCTCTGCCGTCTGTCCTGTGTTTCTGCCATGCTTGAAGACTGCCGGACCACCGAGCTGTATGTTCTCCGAGCCTCCGTGCTGTGGCCAGAAACTGCGGCCCCCTGAACTCCCTTCTCGCCTGTTCCTTCCCGCCTGTCGCCTTCTCCGCTACCCACGCCTTCCGTCTCACAACACTCGGGGCCGGGGCAAAGCGCCATTAGCTCCTTTACCCACGGCTCGAGCTCGGTCCACCCTTCCCGTTCTTTTCGAAGGTCGCCCTTCATGATATAGACCTACTAGCGCCGTCTCCAGGTCGGATAAGTTAGAGTTACTCTAACGCCTCCTGGATTTCCCGTGCCTGCCGGATTATCGGCGGTCACTTGGGAAGCGGCGGTCGTCGGAACTACAATGGTAGCGCCACTCAAGTAGGGGTGTTTTCAAATAGGTTTTTATGTTTTTGAAACTTGTATGCAACAAAATTAACGTTAAAAAGTTTTTAAAAAGGCGTAAATGTAATTTTAATGAACCCTACGTAAGCGACGTCGTCAATCAGCAAGCAACTTTTTTTAATACAATGCATCCTCTGAATCTAGTAGCAAACGTCAAAATTGCCAATCTTAAAGGCCGAGTACAAAATCCTTATTTGTACGTAGGCAGCGTCGCCATAGATGACCGGCGTGTCGCGCTCATCCGGCAGGCCATGGGCAGGCACAAGAAATCTAGGAGGCGTTGTCTATGGTTATAGCACAAAAGACCCAGTTATAGCGCGAGAACAGAACGACAACACAGAGACAAGAAGGGCACGAGCGCTAACTTCCAACTCGTTTCCTTTTTGTCTCTGTGTCGTCATTTTGTTCTCGCGCTATAACAATCGTCATGTCATACCAACTACCCCAAGCTGTCACACCACAACCAGTGGCCACACCACAGAACACCTACCAGGCCACACTTCAGATAGAGTGTCATCGCCATCATGCCATGTTAAAATGGCAACGGAGTTCTGACTTAGAAAAGTTCAAGTAAAATAATTAAGCCACTATTCTTAGAATATACTGGCAGTATATTCTATGGACCGCGTAATTTAACTTGTTTACGTCCGTTCATTTCGTGGTCGACTATGGCCTGTGTGCGTCGATCTGTTTTCGGTTGAAGTAGAGTTGAAGTGTAGTCGGTGATGAGCTACTTCAATCATGAAAGCTCGCATCAAGGGAGTGTTATTCTATGCGATCACCATAGTGTCGCCTTGTTTTCGCTTGCTCGTGAGCGTGAGTAGCGCAACGAAATGCAGATGTTCACCAGCATGTCGACCAACAAAAGAAAATCATTTTACTTGCCAAAAAAAAAAAAAACGGGAAATAACCGGACTTCAAAGGCTGGCTTGTTGGCAATATATATCAAGCAATCTCACGCAGATCATGCTATTTTAGAAGTCTGCGGCATTTACTCCTCGAAGGCGGACGCGCAAAAGCCTGCGCCAATGGGCACGCAATACAGATCGACTAATGTTGCTGATCCCACGAGTGGTACGGCCGGTGAGTCCGCTGGAGAATACCCGATTGCATGACCGGGATCATTTATTCCGTCGCGGAGGCCATCGGCTGACGCGCTTCGGTCATTTGGTCTACAGGAACTTCTTTAGTAATAGACAGATTCAGTTGCGCGTTCGTAGCAGCCGTACGGACGCGGCCTGTCATTTTAGAATAGGCACCCAGCAATCCAGCTTACGAGATCTGATGGTAGCGTCAAAACACACAGCCTAGCGAGTAGGCGCAGCAAAACCGAGTCTTCCAATGCGTAGCCTAGCGAGTAGATGCAGCAAAACCGAACTTGCATGTGCATATCATTTTCTTTTTTAGTTGTGAGCAAGCGGTCACGGCTGATTATGTAAGCGCCCAGGAAGCGTTCTTTGCAGACATGCCAAACAGGGCACTGACACTTCAGCGTGTCACTGTATTCAGCGAGCGTTCCATTTTCATAGTATCCCTAGTATTTTCTTAGTATCCGGGACACGCAACTAAATCTGTCCATTAACGGCCCTTGAACACATCCATGATTGAGGCGCATCCAAAAGCAACCCTAAAGACCAGGCAAACTGAAGGAAATAAATTGCCAGAAAGATAAATTTTTGACTATATGAGGCTAATACTTGTTAGAGGCAAAGCATCTTATGGTGGACTTCAATCCGGCATAGAGGTAAAGGGCCAGTCAATAGGCTCCGAAACGCGCAGTAAATGTTCGCGCATTTTTCTTGCACGTGACCAACCCCCTTCCATGCGCAGTGACGTCAACTCAACGATCGGCGAGGTGACGCTGAACGTAGCATGTCGATTGACCTAAACCAGGTCTCAACAAACGGTAAAGTCAACGTCGCCGAGTTGACGTCACTGCGCGTGGAAGGAGGTTGGTCACGCGCAGGAAAAGTGTGCGACCTTTTCCTTGCGTTTCAGAGCCTCTTGACTGGCTCTATGCAACTCTATGCAATCCGGTGTGCGGCGTGACCTCCCTTACTGAGCATGCGCAACAGCTAGCCCAAGCACTGCCAGAGCACGCTAGCGCGTTCTTGCCATAGTCCCGGCCTGTGCAATCATGTAATGGCGTCGGGGAACGAGATTCTGCATCGGTGCTATAAACCAGCGCGTTGTATCCCAGGCAGAATGCGCTAGCGTGTTCGGGCTCGCGTAAGTGGCTGTTTAAAAAAGCGGCCTCTCCTTTACACTCTCTCAGGGACCGCATAATGGCGTCGGAAATGAAATTCTGCAGACCCGCGATAAACCAGCGTGGCATGCTCCAAAAAAAGTTTGGGTCGAGTAACAGCAACAGAAACTACGGTGAACTCATGATGTGCCCTACTTGCAAGGACATGTAAACATCGGGAAGGTGCCCGTAATGAATGGAACTTTGATTCGACCCATGCGCTGCTTCGCATGCTACTCATGGTTCCCTTTAGTGGGAGACTGTTTTTTTTCCTCTCCTACTTTGTAATTGTGAACAGGGGGCTATGTCAGTATTATATTAAAAAGCTGGTATCAATGCATTCAGGTAAATTTTCATTTTGAACCGGTAGTAAGGTGTGCATCATATGCAAAATACAATTTTTGTTTTTTAGACAATAGGAGAGAGGTGACTTACCAGGTGGTTGGCTTGAAGCTGCTTTGTATAGTGGTGACTCTTAATTTGTTATTTTTACGTGGTGTTCTTGCTAGGACTAGATGGATTTGTTATAAAATGTTGGTTGTGGCCTAACTGGGAATTTCCACTGTATGTGTTGTTGCATGGCACAACCACACATGAGCGATCTATATTTCCCACCGTATTCAAGTTTTCTATTTTGTACTGCCCAGAAGCACATGTCACTTTTCTAAATGTAACTATAGTCAGATATTACTTAAAAGGTTGGAAGCACTCAGGTTACCAAAGTACTGCAGGTGATCACCTCTGCGACTCAACATTTTCCAAAGGTGGTGGCACTGGCCACCTGGCTTATGATTTCAATCTGAAGTGAGTGCCCATTGGTAAAGGTTTCAGTGCACCCGCTTTTCAGGAGGTAATGGCGCGACCTTCTTAAGTTGCATTTGACCCTAGTTGCCTCTAATAGGTTGCCAAAAAAAGTAATCATTTGATCTCAAAACTACCAAGAGATGCCACTCATCGCAAGTAAATTGTTACATGCAAGTCTGGTAGATGTGAAAGGCAAATGTTTCTATGTGTATGCTGACTTTAACAGTGATACCTGTCTTATTGCAGATGTATTCATTCTCTCTATGGAGCATTCAAGAGATTGCATGCTTCAGGTGTTGACATACCTGCACTATACAAGCCTCTTCACAGAACTTAGCTTCACCATTATGTAACTGTTTGATTTGGTATGTCCTTAAGTAAGTGATGGCTGTGTGGCTCTGACCACTGTCTGCCGCCTTGGATTGGTCATATTGGAATGGGGGAAAACTGAAAATTGGATTTTAGCACTCTTAGTATCACAAAATTGTAAAGAAAAGAATGGCTGCATATTAGAACAGGGGAAAATTGAAAATTTGTTTTTAGCACCCTCAGTCTCATGAAATTGTGAGGAAAAGAATGGGTGTCGTAATGGTTCCAGCCATTACTATATACGGATAGTGCCTGTCTGGTTCTGGCTAAATTAGGAGTAGTGCATATTCTCATCTTTTTAAAGATGAAACTGTATCTGTTTATAAAACTCAAACTGAAAAAAAGGAAATTCATGATTAAGTTATCTCAATGTTTTGAAGTGGCATTTTGGTTCTGATTTGATTGATATGTGGGGTTTAATGTCCCAAACCACCATAGGATTATGAGCGACGCCGTAGTGGAGGGCTCCGGAAATTTAAACCACCTGGGGTTCTTTAATATGCGCCCAAATCTGAGTACACGGGCCTACAGCATTTCTGCCTTCATCGGAAATGCAGCCGCCACAGCCGGGATTTGATCCCGCGACCTGCAGGTCAGCAGCCGAGTACCTTAGCCACTAGACCTCCAGGCATTTTGGTTCTGTACCGCATTCTGGGAAGGTTGATTTTGAGAGCTTACCGTGGAAATGTTGCCCTTATGCATCTTTTTCTTACTTAGCCTTGTCATTCTTCGTGTTTCTGTTTTTGTATTGTACTTTTTAGATCAGCAAGATATAAACAGTAACATTGACCAGTCAACATTTTTGTGTCTTCATTAATTGGCACTGACTGATCTCTGCGAAACATGACACCATTTTTTTTTATATTGATGAATTTAAATTTTATTGTTTTTAAGTTTGTATATTGCCAGGTGCACTTGTGTTCATAATGTGAATACGTTGATGGCCAATTCGCATGTGATGCTGCAAACTCATCTATGCATTGTTGAGTGTCAAACACTAAAGGAGCTTTGATAATTTAGGCATGTCGTGAGGGCTTTCCGAATGTGCCTTCAATGTTTTGCCATGATATTCATTTTGTATAATTAGTTGAATTCAAGAGCAAAGTTGAATATCTATTCATGTGTGAGTGAATAGTTACTTATAGCAATCCAATTTGTTATCATTCTATCATTGAAGCAGTGTGTGAACATCAATGGGATATGTGTGAGCTCTGCTGATACATATGTGTTGCAATAATTGTTCGTGTTGTACAGAAAAGTGTGCCTTTATTTTTCTCCTCCAAAAGAACTGGTGCTATTTTGAAATGTGTAAATTTCTATTTTGTCATATTTTCCAGCATGTTTTAATTTGATATTTCTCTCTTGCATTTCACCTTGCATGCTTCATGTGTTGAAAAATTAAACAGTGCTTTTTCTGTCCTGAATTCTATAGAGACTTGTGTGAGAAGAATCAGTACAATATGCAATTGTAGAGGCACATGTCTGCGAAAAAATTCAGGTTGTAATTGTAGTATCAGATAAGCGTCCATATCAGGCCTCTGTGTGTTGGCAGAACGTGCTTGAATGTTTTAAACATTGCATTTATGTAGAGAGGGTTGGGAGTTTGTGTGAAACCTGTGCTGTAGCACTGGACTGCAGGGACACTTCTTTGACTACCTGGTGCTGCAGTCCAGTTTTATGTACTGTTTGACACTTCATTTGCATTGCATGCATGTCTTCCTTTGACTTTGCAGCTTCCTTCTCATCGGAGTATCCAGAGCAGTACGATTCACTCGTGATTGTAGAAAGCGGGCGAAATTTTTGTCGGCAGTGCCTCTACATGACAAAGAAAAGAATGAAAATGGAAGGCCACCTTCGCAGACATGCAATTAACAAGCCCCTCTACCATTGCCAGCTATGTCCAGCTGCGATCATCGAAAACCGCATTCTCATGCAACACATACGCAGACACACTGGAGAGCGTCCCTTTTCCTGTGTCCACTGCTGTGCATCCTTTTTGCAGAAAGTGAACCTGACCCACCACTTGCGCACCCACACAGGAGAGTGACCGTACCCTTGTGACCACTGTGATAAATCGTTTTCACAGAAAACCTCCCGGACGCAGCATTTGCGCATTCACACAGGAGAGCGCCCCTTTTCGTGTGACCACTGCAGTGCGACGTTCACGAAGCAAAACAACCTGACGGAGCACTTGCGCACCCACACAGGAGAGCGTCCCTTTTCCTGTGACCACTGCAATGCAACCTTTGTGCATAAAAACAGCCTGACGCATCACCTGAACACTCACACAGGGGAGCGTCCCTTTACCTGCGACCACTGCGATGCATCTTTTTCGTATCGAAGCACCCTCATCCAACACTTGCGCACCCACACAAGAGAGCATCCTTTTCGCTGTGTCCTCTGCAGTGCATCCTTTTTGCAGAAAGCGAAGCTCACCAATCACATCACCTGTCTCCATTCATAGAAGAAGTTCTAAAGGTGAGTAGCATACAGATTTCGCTTGTGAATGGGGGGTGGCATGGAGTTTTATACAATAATTCCTAGAGGGAAATCTGGCACTAGTGTCTATGCGGGCTCCTTCAGCGACACTTGTACCCCCATGGGAATTATGGGAAGTACAGGCTTCGGATACGCTTCGGATGGATCACGTTTTTGAGATTCGTGACACTTGTTTGCTGAGTGTAAAACAAAGTGATATGAAGTTATGTTTAATTGAAACTTGCTTCATTTTTTTTTGTACGCAAACTTTATTGCAAAATGTTTTTGTGACTATGCGGTTGAAGTGAAACCTTGACAAACTTAACCACCAGTGTATACATTGCTCTGCCATTGCGTTCCAGATTTGGCATCAAGATTTAATAAATAATTTTTTACAATACTTCAAAACAAAATTTTTTGCTTTGCCCTCAAAAGTACGCAATATCTATATATGGAAATAACAGCGCAGTGTTAACTGAGAAACACTTAACGTTTCGTCTGCTGTAATGCCAGGAGCATCTGTTCGAGTGGTCTGCCTGCAACGTACCTCTCGTTTTGTTGTGAAGTCGAGTCAGAAGAGCGTGGCGGTGCGTCTACTTCGCGTCGCCGTAATTTTGCAGTTGATTTTGACGAGTTTTGGCAAGACGCACTAACAACAAACGTGAACTCGATGCAATATTTTGCACTGGCATGGAACGCTAGATCTATGCGCAGTGGTGAGTGGACGGCACTTTGCTTAAACTGTCAAACACGACTTATACAGCTCCAGAGTTGCAGTAAGTTGAGAGGCCTAGTAGTTTCCAGCTTCTTCGAACAACAAAAGTGCAGCTTCAGTCCTTTGCACCCACCCACTACGGACTCTACGAAAGAACGAAACTGAAACTGTAGAAAAAGATCTGTAGACCGTTCGCTGGCTAACGCGATCCAATCCGAAGCCTGTACTTCCCATAATTCCCATGAGGGTACACGACCGGAGCGCCAGATTTCTCTCTAGTTTTATTGTATGAAACTGTGGGGGGTGGGGTGGCGAAAGGGAAAAAGGCTATTATGAAATGACTTTGAATAGAGGAAGGTCCCGTTGCAGTCTTGTACTTGGGACCCTCGTCTGTATATTTCACTCCCTGTAACATCCTTTTATGACATGATAATAAACTAATTGATTGATTGATTAAGGTAACTGTTCTGTGCATGAAACAGTATCAGATGCCTCTGGAATATGAAAAATGAAGTATATTTATGAAATGTCTGTAACTGGTAACAAAAAGAATTCATAAGTTCCATGATGTACATATAGCTATGACGTGATGACAAAGGCTTGACTTGCCTTGAGTGTGAATTGACTAAAGATTTCTTTGTCTAGAACTTTCTTATGTTACTCACTATATACTTAAATACCTATTTAAAGTGGCTGTTTCACTGTGGCTTTACTGCCAGTGGTTCCTGGAATGACACCAGGTGCTGCCACTAAGTCAAGAATACAAGGACATTGATTCATATGTCAAGCTCCCGAACTTGTACGGGCATGATACACTGTAATAAAAGGGGGAAACATGCTGTCACAGTTTGGAAAAATGAGGCATTCAGCAGAGGCTTTTTTTTTTTTCTCCCCTTCAACATTGCCTCTTACTCTCCCTCTAAGACCCGCACTCATTAGTGCGTGTCCCCTTAAGGCAAGGTGCTTTTCGCCAAGGAATAATTGTTCTGCAAATCACTCAAGTTTGCTTTTGGTTAGCAGGCTGTCGACCAGTCCTGCCTCACTGGCCAGCTGCTCTTCATGACAGTGAGTGCTGATATGAGCGGCTGGCTCACAAATTCTCTCGCAGAAGTCTCATCACAATCGAACGGGAGGCATTCTTTGGTGTAGTACATGTGCAAGGAATCCCCTGCTGTCGCTGTCGTTTACTGCTGCCTCATTCAATGAGGGTTACTGTTCAGTTGTGATACTCTTGAGCCAGACAGTGGTCATCTAACGAGTCTGCCTTTTCCCTTTATCCATTTTTGTATAATTTCTCGAGTGAGCAGCCACTGAATCCTATTACTCTACTATGCCACTATAACTGTTTCTCAAAGAGGACACCTCAACTGGTAGACACATGAGAAAAGGAGATGAAAAGGGGACAGAGCGAAGGAAAGGCGCTAGAGGGGGGCGGTCGGACTGCCCGGCCCACTTTTGACGCCCAAACCTGAGCCGACATGCCAAGGAGGTTGAAAAGGGGGCGCGAAAAGCGTTGTCGCGATTTAGTGAAACAAGGTGTTGAGCAGAAGATTTTTCGCGCCTGTTCTAGCATTCATGTGAACAGGGTGCGAGGCATGCCAGCTGGGTGCGTGGCATGCCAACGGACTGCAGCACCCTGTCAACCACCGTGGAGACGGAGTGCTGGCCTCTTGTTGATTTAATAAATGTCAGTCACTTGCCGCAGCTGGCATTGGCAGGCGATTTATTGGTAGTTGCATCTAGCTGGCAGGCTGTAATCTCATTTACTTGGATGCAACAATAGCACGTTTGCTCAGCAAGCCCATTTCAGAGAGGCTAGGCGACACCGTTTATAGGAAGGACTCCTTGCATTCTCGCCGCAGCAACCGTGTACTTTTGCGAGTAAGACTTGATGCTGGGCGAGTTAAGGGACGTGAAAGGGATACATTCGCTTACCCTTGTGTCCAGCATGGGAGACAGAAATTAGCACTTTTTTCTTCTTCATAAGTCATAATATAAAAGTGTACATGTTAATTCAAATAAACAAAGACTAGAGAAAGAAGGGGGGAGAAGCAGAAAAGCTTTGGCTACCAGAGAGAATGCCACTGCAGCATGCAACAAATATTTTGAACTCTGCTCATACTGGATTCGTGTTGAATTCGTGAGGCAGCAAGCTTTTTTAGAGAATTTATTCCAGGGTTACTTAAGAAGTGTTTCAGGGTCCTTTTAAAAAAACTGGGCGGCTGTACCAGCCTACACGATGTTGTGCTCTCGATTGCCATTTTATGATGGCAATGACACTTGATCTGAACCCTCCGATGAGAAGCTGCTGTACCCAGGTTTTGGTTTTGTACTCGATCATGGTCAAAGCTTTCTCTTAATGCAGCCATTATCACGCTCGTTTTGTCAGGGTTCTCTCAGGGGAAAGCACTGAAAACTAAGCAGGGAGGGTTTCGGCATTTTTTTCTCTTTTTTTCTTAGAATAAGCGACTTTTTTCGTGTTATGGCGCGCACACGCGTGGTCAAGTCACGGTCTTTCGCAGCGATCCCTGTAAAGACCTAGCGCCATATTCAAATCAGCCAATGGCTGATAGATGGCCTTCTGCACACGAATTTCGAGTGTCTTTTGTTTTTTCTCGAGAGAAAATGAAGAAATATTTAGCTTTGATAATTTATCCTGAATTCCAGGCGGCTTGCTGTGTTTGGCTTGCCTGTTCTCAGGAGCCTGTACTACCGATCGGCAGCGGCTGACAATATTCAAAAAGTGTTGCAGGGCCCCTTTAACCTGAACGCACGAGCGTCAACTGCTGATTGATTCGCACTTGTTCCTGGCATCCTAGTGTGCGGTTCTCGGAAAAGCGTGGCCGAACACAGTTGCACTGGAGTGTTCATCGCGCGCATGCATGTAGCTCCGTTCATCTTGCAGCGGTGCTTTGTTGAGTTTATCAACTGGGAGGTCGACGCTCCGGCATCCAGGCTAAAAACAATGGCTGGCAGTACTTGTTTAGTTCACTGTAGCGCAGCGACAATTTAATTGTAGTCTTTAGAATATACTGTGTGTATATTTTAAGGACCGCTCGTTGATGTCCGTTCATTTCGTAAGCAATTGTGATCTGTGTGCAAATCGGTGTTGAGCTACTTTCATTATGGATGCTCACATCAAGGGAGAGTTATTCTATGCGTTCACCGTACTGTGCCCTGTTGATTTCAATTGCTCAAGGCCGGTCAGCATGAGTGGCACAACGAAAACAAGTTCTTAACCTGTATTTCAACCAGGAAAATTCTTTACTTGGAGGCTGCGATCTCCAAGCTGGACCTCGTCGATCAGGGCCAACTCGTCGCGGAGAGCCGCCAGGTGGTCCAGGCCAGAGGGTTCCTGGAATAAAGGACCCTCCCACATTCATTGATTGGCCACCTAATAATTGTTTTCGCTCTCTCTCTCTTGCCTTAAAACTGAAAATAACTGGACACGAAAAGCTGACTTATTGGCATCTCAAACAACTGCATGTTGATCATGCTACTTTAGAAGTTTGCTGTATTTCCTTCTCCAGGTCGGACGTGCCTGCACTCATGGGTGCGCACTCCAGACTGACATTGCTGATGCCGCGAGTGGTGCGGCTGGTGAGTCTGCTGAAGAGCTTTCCGACTGCTTGACCAAGCTGGACCAGACCAGGCAAACTGTAACACTGCAGAAAGTAAATTGTCAAAAAGTTTTTCCGATTATATAAATGCAAATGGTACTTGTGCCTTTCCCATTTTGTAATTGTGAACATAGGGCCAGGTCAGACTCATTTTAAAAAACTGGTATCATTACATTCAGGTAAATTTTAGTTTTGAGCCGACAGTAAGGTGTGTGTCATGTTCGAGCTAATACGATTTTTGTTTTTCAGATGACAGGAAAGAGGCTTCGTTTGTGGTGGTTCTTAATTTGTTATTTCTACAGGATTCTTGCTAGGACTAGACGAATTTGCTATAAAATGCAAGTAGTGCTTAACTGGGAAACATGTTGTTACGGGGTTTGTATGAGAGGTTTATTTACATTGAGCTGGACAGAGAGTGTCATCCAGCCCTGCACTTCGTTCTTCTTTTTCTTGCGACCTTCATTGCTGTTGTCTCTGCTCCTCTTTCCCTATGGACTGGACCCACTAACATTGCTCCCCTTGCGGACGAAGCTCACCAGATGAGAAGCTAGTTGAAACATCGCTGAGCAGAAGGCTTCTGGCATGCTATATGTGTGCCTTCGGTCTTGGATGACCGTCTTCCACTGGCAGTGAGACATGCAATGTTTTAGTTCAGCTTTCTGATACCCTCTATCACCACGAATGGTTCAGCACAGTCATCAAGCAATTTTTGACTGAGTCCATGTTTCCTTACAGAAGTCCATAACCACACTAGGTCACCAGGATTGTAGGAGAACTGCCGGTATCGGCTGTCATACAAGAATTATAGTGCTCCTGTGAAGCCACAGTAGGCAATTGAACTAGGCGCCGAGCCTCCATCACGCGACACAGCGTTTTCGCGATACAAGCAATATTGCGGCTGAAAAAAGCAAAGATGGTGTTCAAAGTGTATCGCCATGGACGAGCATAAAGAAAAAAAAATTCCCACATATTCATGAAGTGAATGATGATGAAGGAGCTTGCTCCAGAGGTTGAATCCGGTAAACCGTGAATATGCTGAGTCATCATATGCCGTACATATGCTAAGTCATCATCATAGAAATACTGATACGAGAGTTGCTGTTGTGTAATTATATATACAAGATATATGCACAATGTTTATTATTTACATATCAATGTACTATATACCGATATTTACATACTGATGCAGTGTATACATTTTGTTCAAAAGCTTATTTACGGATCACAAGCTCAGAGGAACCTTTTCCTTTAAGTATAATGGCTTTGTGATCCGTAAGTACAAAGCTAGAGGATCTTGAATAATAGGATGTAGTGGAAAGTTCAAGAAGAGTCCTGACAGTAAGCCCGCGCTGCAGCTGCGTTGCAAGCCCTCCGCGCCGTCACCTTCGCTTCTGCGGTATTCATAGTGGGTAGCGGTATTGATGCGCACTGAGTGATGTCTGACGAAAGAAAAAGGAAGCGCACCAAGAGCGAGCGCTATATATATAGCTGCCACTGGGCGGTCTCTTACCAAACTAGAGCACATGCCAAAAGTGGAGCGAGCATCGTCTGAGAGGCGGTGCTCCATCTAGTGAGGGCTCTTCAAACGAAGAACACAGCTGTGCCTCCAGCGGGAGCAGTGAGCGCTAGCATACACACTGGCACAACGACGAAAGACAACCTCCCAGCAAATGGAGCAAGCTTCTAAAAACAGGCTGTTCAGTGGTCTCATACTTTGCCATATTATATGCCAAGTGACGAACTACAGCACTTTGTCCCAGCTTTTGTGTTCTGAGCTAGTGTACATGGACATCATGTTCACGAAGGTTCTATTTGTACACTCAATCAAGCCATTGGTCTGAGGTTGACAGGGTGAGGAATGTCGCAGGTTTGAAGCAGACAGACGTAGGAGCTCTTCAACAATATCAGCTTTGAACTGGCGGTCGGAATCACTAATGATCATGTGAGGGAGACCATCACGAAGTATTATCGAATTTAGCACAAATTTCGATACTTCTATTGCTGCTGCTGAGGGTAGCGCCGCCGTTTTGCAGAACCGAGTCAAATAGTTGGCGCATAATAAAATCCATTGATTCCCTTTAGATGGCCGTGGGAACACTCCTGTCAGATCAATGCTTACTTGTTCAAAAGGTGATCTCTGTGGAACCAGAGGATTTAGGCAACCGACTGGGGCAACTGTAAGTCTCTTCCGGCTTTGACATTAGGTACAGCTGGCTACGTACGTCTCCGTTGTCTTGTGCATTAGCGGTCAATAAAATCTTTCTTTAGCACGATTGAACGTCTGCGTTGATTTCAGGCGACCTGAAATTGGGTCACCGTGCACGAGGCGCAAAACAGAAGAGCTAGGGGTTTCTGACACCACAAACAGAAACTGTGCACCTGTAGCAGAGAAGTTCTTATACAGGAACCCATCTCGAACACAAAATTGTCACGCTGTTCTTTCGCGAAGGCTGCAATATCTCGAAAATCCCAATGTACAACTTAAATTAAATGGTCAAAATCGTCAGCGTCAGATTTTGTTGCACGGAGAGGCATCCTGGAAAGGCAGTCGGCATCAGCATGCCTTCGCCCACCCTTGTAGGAGATGGTGAAGCTGTACTTTTGCAAACGTAAAGCCCATCATGCAGAACATCCCCATGGATCATGAAGATTGACAAGCCAGCACAGAGAATGATAGTCGGAAATGATAGTGAACTTGCGCCCATACAGGTACGATCAAAACCGCTGCACTACGAAAATAACGGTGAGACATTCCTGTTCAGTGACCATGTAGTTTCGTTCAGGTTTGCTTAACGATCGGCTCGCATTATTACTTCCCTGTCATATATCTGTAACCTTTGAGGATGAACGGCGGCAAATCAAGCCAAGTCATTAACATTCTTATTTTCTTTTTTTTCTTGCCACGACGCATTTCTTCGCATGTAGGCGATGACATGTTCTTTGTTGATGCACTGAACAAGAACAGCACCAAGACCTACACCTGGACCTCTGTTGGCGCAGAGGAACCGAAGTGTTGGAGAATTGGCCGCGACATCAGCATAAAGTTAAGTTGTTGAAAGAAAGCAGTACACTCTGGTGTCTACTGGAATTGGGGGTTATTGTGGAGGAGTCTTTTTAACCGTCATTCTTCTCCTTCTTCAACCTCCGTTGCTGCTGTCACTGCTCCTCCTTCACTATGGGCTAGACTTGCTAACAATATAATCGTATTTGCACTATATGTGCTGCTGCATAGCACGACCACACATGAGCAGTCTATATTTGCCGCCATACTTTCTACAACATTGAAGCAAACAATTTTGTACTGCACGGTAGCACTTGTAACTTCTTTAAATGTGAGTGTAGTCAGGTAGAACTTGAAAGGTTTGGAGCATCTAGGCAACCAAAGTGCAGCAGCCGATCACCTTCGCGACTCAATAATGCTTTTTGAAAGCAGTGGTACTAGCCATCTCTCTTGGAAATTCAATCTGAAGTGCATGTCTATTGGTGAGTGTTTGTGTGTACCTGCCTTTTCAGGAGGCCATGCCATGACCTTCCTAAGTTGTATCTGGCTATAGGTGCCTCTAATGGGTTGCGAAAAAGTAATCACTTGATTACAAAACTAACTAGAGATGTTACTAATTGCAAGTAAATTTTTACATGCAAGCCTGGTTCATGCAAAGGGTAAATGTTTCTTGATGTTTGCTCAGATTTGGGTGCACGTTAAAGAACCCCAAGTGGTTGAAATCTCCGGAGCTCTCTACTACAATGTCTCTCATACTCATATGGTGCTTTTGGGAAGTTGAAACCTCACATATCAATCAATCAAATGTTTCCTGAGTGCACTGTCTGTATGCTGGCTTTAACAGTGATATCCGTCCAATTGCAGATGTATTTGTTATCTCTATGGAGCATCGAAATGGTTTTGGGCTGCAAACATTGCCATACGTGCACCACACGAGCCTCTGCGCAGAACTGAGTTGACCATTATTTAGATGTTTAATTTGTCATGTCCTTAAGATTGTGATGGTTGTGTGACTCTGACCGCTGCCTGCTATCTTGGATTGGTTATATTTGCAATGGAGAAAAATTGAAAAATAATTTTTGCACTGTTTGTCTCGTGAAATCGGGGATAGAAGAATGGCTGCCCTAATGATGCTGTAGTTCTAGCCATCACCATAAACAAATTCTGCCTGTATTTACAAAGCATTGATTCTGGCTATATTGGGGGAAATGCATATTCTTACTTTTTTAACAATGAAACTGTTACTGCTCATGAAACTTGAGATTAAGGAAAAAAAGTTGTAAGCCAGTAACTGCTACGCTTTGCAGTGGCACTTTTGTGCTGTGCTGCGGTCTGTGAAGAATGATATTGAAAGCTTACAGTGGAAGTATTGTCTCTGTTATATACTTAGTGTTGTTTCGTGCATATCAGCTAGGGCACATCAATGAAAACAATCTGTCTTCATCGTCTTTTCCTTATATTACGCTTAGCCCTGTCATTCATTGTGTTTGTGTGCTGTACTTTTAGATCAGCAAGATTATAAAACGTGATATTGACCATTTTCTTTTTACTGTAGCACTGATTTCCACGAAACATGACACAATTTTTTTTATTATATCGATGAGTCTTAACTTTATTGTTTTTATATTTATACATCACCAGGTGACTTAAGCTCATAATGTGAATGTGCTTATGCCAAATTGGCATGGAATGGTTCAAACTCATTTATGCATTGTCCAGTGTCAAACACCATAAGGGTTTTGATAATTTAGACATGCCGAAAAGGCTTTCCCAATGTGCCTTCAATGTTTTGCCATGGTATTCATTCAATATAATTATGTATTTGCGTTCAGGAATGAAGTTGAATATCTGCTCACGTGTGAGAGATTGTTACTTATAGTAATCAAATTTGTCATCATTCTGTTATTGAAGCAGTCTATGTACATTAATGGGATATGTGTGGGCTCTGCCACTACATGTGTGTAGCAATAATTGTTTGTGTTGTACAGAAAAGTGTGCCTTTATTTTTCTCCTCCAAAAATGCTGGTGCTATTTTAAATCATGTAAATTTCTATTTGTTGATATTTTCCAGCATGTTTTAATTTGATATTTCTCGCTTGCATTTCACCTTGAGCGCTTCATTTGTTGAAAAATCAAACAATGCTTTTGCTGACCTGCATCATATAGAGGCTTGCGTGTAAAAAATCAGTACATTATGCAATTGTAGTAGCACATACCTCCTAAAAGTTCAGGCTGTAAGTGTAGTATCAGAATTGCTTCCATATCAGGTCTTTTTGTGTGATTAGAATGTGTTTGAATGTTTTAATTGTATTTATGTAGAGATTTAGGAGCTTGTTTGAAACGTGCACTGCAGCTGGACTGCAGGGAAACTTTCTTGACTACCTGGTGCTGCAGTCCAGTTTTATGTACTCTGTGACACTTAATTTGCATTGCATGTCTGTCTTCCTTTGGCTTTGCAGGTTTCTTCTCATCGGAGTATCCAGAGCAGTACAATTCACTCGTGACTGTAGAAAATGGGCACCATTTTTGTCGGCAATGCCTCTACACGACGAAGAAAAGAACGAAAATGGATGGCCACCTTTACCAACATGCGATCAACAAGCCCCTCTATCATTGCCACTTATGTCCAGCTGCATTCTTGGAAAACCGCATTCTTGTGCACCACATACGCAGACACACTGGAGAGCGTCCCTTTTCCTGTGTCCACTGCAGTGCAGCGTTTTCGAAGAAAGGAAGCCTGACCAACCACTTACGCACCCACACAGGAGAGCGTCCCTACTCCTGTGACCACTGCAATAAATCCTTTTCGCAGAAGACCTCCCTGACGCAGCATTTGCGCATTCACACGGGAGAGCGCCCCTTTTCGTGCAACCACTGCAGTGCAACGTTTAGAAAGCAGTACAACCTGACGGAGCACCTGAACACCCACACAGGGAAGCGTCCCTTTACCTGCGACCGCTGCGATGCATCTTTTTCACACAGAAGCTCACTCATCCACCACTTGTGCACCCACACAAGAAAGCGTCCTTTTCGCTGTGTCCTCTGCAGTGCATCCTTTTCGCAGAAAGCGAAGCTCTCCAAACACATCTCTCGTCTCCATTCATAGAAAAAGTTCAAAAGGTGAGTAGCATACAGACTGCTCGTTAATGAGGGGGAGAGAGAAAATTTATTACGATATGAACATGAATGGGGGAAGGTAACTGTTCTGTGCATGAAACATACCAAGTTTTTTTGGAAATATGAAGGTTCCAATGCATTTGCAAAAAATCTGTAACTGGTAATAAAAACAATACATAAGTTCAATGATGTACATATAGCTTTAACGTGATGACAAAGGCTTGACATGCCTTGAGTGTGAATTGGCTAAAGATTTTTTTGTCTAGAACTTTCTTATGTTACTCACTATATACTTAAATACCTATTTAATGTGGCTGTTTCACTGTGGCTTTATTGCCAGTGGTTCCTGGAACGACACCAGGTGCTGCCACTAAATCAAGAATAGAAAGACAGTGATTCGTAGGTCAAGCTCCCATACTTGTACGGGCATGATACACTGGATTAGGAGGGGGAAACATGCTGTCACAGTTTGGAGAAATGAGGCATTCAGCAGAGGCTTTTTTTTTCTCCCCTTCAACATTGCCTCTAACTCTCCCGCGCCCTGAGGCGTACCTCAGAGCGTGGGCTTATCACCCCTTCTACTTTTAATATTCATAAACGACCTACCCATAAACATTCAAACAAAACTACGACTGTTTGCAGACGACTGTGTCATATACTCCCCTATTCACAACATTGAAGCCAGCACTAAACTACAACAAGATCTCAACACAGTTGCATTATGGTGCCAAGACTCATCAATGCCGTTAAACCTAACCAAATGCAAATCGATGTCATTTTCCCAAAAGCGCGCCACTGTTCATCACACCTACTTTATCAATTCGCTTCCTCTCGATTCGGCTTCATCGTACAGGTATCTTGGTGTGCACATGTACCCAACTCTTTCATTTGCACCGCACGTGCAGTCCATCTGCTTAGACGCTATGCGCATGCTTGGATTTCTGTGCCATAATCTTAAATCAGCATCTCCTGACATTAAAAATTTAGCATACTTAACATACATACGCCCAAAGCTCGAATACGCATCGTTCATTTGGAATCCATCCCAGGCGCATCTCGCTAACGAACTAGAATCAGTCCAAAACCGCGGTGCCCGCTTTATAACCTCACAGTTCTCCAGAGAAATTGGCGTCACTGCCCAATCAATACAAATACCATCTCTCACGTCACGCCGCCTGATCTCGCGCCTATGCCTCCTGCACAGTTTATTTTTCTGCCCGAAATCAAGACACAAACTTTTACAGCCTCCTAACAGAACTTATTCTCGCATCAACCATTCTATCCCTATTGCACCAATCAACGGCCGTACATCTGCAATGAACGGCGCCTTTTTCCCCCAAGCAATTACACTTCGGAATCGCCTCCCCGACTCCATAGTTGCCACGCCTGACCGCACATCATTCCACGCAAAATTGGAATCCCACTTTGATTTCACCCATTAACCCATGACTGTAGATATATCCCACCAGCATAGTACAACTTTTTTTTGTCATATTGTTTGTGTTCATTTTCCCAGTCAAAAGTTTCTTTTGTTCATTGTTTGATTAGTTTTTGTTGTCATTCTGGACCAAACTTCCATATGCGTATATAGAAATGTATTGTTTATGATAAGTTGATCACATTGAATTGTTCACCCTCACAGCGTATTTGTTGCCCCCCCCCCTTATGTAATGCCCTCGGGCCTTTAAGGATGCAATAAATGAAATGAAATGAAAACTTACGCTCATTAGTCCGTGTCCCCTTATGGCACGGTGCTTTTCGCCAAGGAATAGTTGTTCTGCAAACCACTCAAGTTTGATTTTGGTTAGCAGGCTGTCGACCAGTCCTGCCTCACTGGCCAGCTGCTCTCCATGACAGTGAGTAATTATATGAGCGGCTGGCTGATGAATTCTCTCGCAGAAGTCTAATCAAAATCGAATGGGAGGCATTGTTTGGTGTAGTACATGTGCAAGAAGTCCCCTGCTGTCGCTGTCGTCTACTGCTTCCTCATTCAATGAGGGTCGCTGTTCAGTTGTGATATTCTTGAGCCAGAGAGGGGTCATCTAACGAATCTGCCTTCTCTTCTTATCCATTTCTATATAGTTTCTCGAGTGAGCAGCCACTGAATCCTATTACTCTACTATGCCACTATAACTGTTTCTCAAAGAGGACACCTCAACTGGTAGACACATGAGAAAAGGAGATGAAAAGGGGACAGAGCGAAGGAAAGGCGCAAGAGGGGGCGCTTGGACTGCCGGGCCCAGTTGTGCTACCCAAACCTGAGCCGACATGCCAAGGAGGTTGAAAAGGGGGCGCGAAAAGCGTTGTCGCGATTTAGTGAAACAAGGTGTTGAGCAGAAGATTTTTCGCGCCTGTTCTAGCATTCATGTGAACAGGGTGCGAGGCATGCCAGCTGGGTGCGTGGCATGCCAACGGACTGCAGCACTCTGTCAACCACCGTGGAGACGGAGTGCTGGCCTCTTGTTGATTTAATAAATGTCAGTCACTTGCCGCAGCTGGCATTGGCAGGCGAGTTATTGGTAGTTGCATCTAGCTGGAAGGCTGTAATCTCATTAACTTGAATGCTACAGTAGCACGTTTGCTCTGCAAGCGCGTTTCAGA